TCAGATTAAGTTAATGACCAGCTCCTATGAACACAGGATTGTTGGTTCCTGTCAGTGCCAAGCTTTAAATAAGGACCGATTTTACTTTTATTTTTATTTTTAATTTGAATTCCCACTGTTTCAGACCCAATGTTGCAGTCCAGTGGGTTATGCTTGTGCCTCATTCTCAGCTGATACCAGGTTCAGAACTGGGTTCAGGGATTGGCCATGTTAATTAAAGTCTTTTGTGGTTTTCCTCAGCCTTTCCACCCCTTTACCACTATTATACTGTCATTTATGGCGGCATAATCTGAAGAATAGAAAGAAAAGGCTTGTTAAATGCACCATGAAGCAGTCATTCCATTCATGTTGTAGTGTTCAGGATCAGGGTAGGTGCTTACCATTTCAGAGGAGAGTTATTGCCCCCACATTCAGGTATCCATACCACAAAATGGATCTTTACTCTATGAAGACCTCAAGTTTTAATCAGCCCCCTATCCAAATGCACTTTCTGTTCCTCCATTCTTACCTACTTGCATCCAGATATTCGGCCCTGATAAGCCCCCAGTTTTGAAATTAATTGTATAGGAATTATGTCTACTGTCAACACAACAGGTAATTAGTTCAATTTTTGATCTTTATTACTGCAGCATGTTTCGGTTGTACAAGAGCATCATCAGGCAGTTACACACAAGAATGCATATTCATTGAAAATACCTATACGGCTTCTTATCGGTGCAACGCGTCATATTAAACACTAACATAAAACGTTTACCTCAGATTAGTGTTATACTAGCAAATACATAATTAAAATAAAAGATAGATATAGGGGTATACTATATATCAAAATGCTGAATATATTATTAAAACATATTAAAAGTATATTACATCTTTGTTGATCTCTACATCCAACATAATAAATAATAGTCTCCATTGTCCTATAAATATTTGCAGCTAGTTCGATTGTTACTCCCGTCATGTGGACAGCATAGAATGCTGTTTTACAAGCCAGCCCATGTCAGCTGGGAATGTGAATTATGGCAAGCCACCATGAGTACCCAAAGATTTAAATGATTGTATTCGCAGTTAGCTATTCTGTTAGAGCCTGTTGCTGTCTCCACCATGAGTCCCTCATTCCTTTTAAAGCTCCTGTTCAACAGGATTTCAATTCTTTTATTTTAAATTCTGAAGAGACTGATAATGGTCATGAAAATTATTTGTTTCGAGTATAGAATCCATGGGGAGTATCCTTAAAGTTTTCCTCACTGCCAGTAATTAGAATAGGCTATTGATTCATGTTGAAGATTCTGCATTTTTTATATGTGATAATCAAGGAGTTTACTGATTTCCTAAAATTTTCGAATTGGTTGAGGATTTGTGTGCTTATTGGATTCAAGAAATTAAATGGAAAACTCCTATCATTAAAAGTTGCTTTAGTTTCAATCCTTCGTTCAGAGGTTTGCTTCACTGAGCCGTCTTTGAGATGCAGGCATTGGTAGTTAAAGCATGATAATGATCCTTTCTGAAAGAAATTTATCCTGAAATTAAATATGACTTAGTAAGCACCTGATTTGTATGTATGCCATCAGGTTTATGATGATAACTGGTAACTATTTCATATGGGCATATAAAGTTCCGTGTGGTGGGAAATTTCAAGTATTCTTATATGATTAATGAAAAAACGTTATTTTCCTTTATTGAAAAGTGCAAAGAATTGTGATTATACTTAGCAGGAAACAAGAGCCTGCCTTGCTATATCAGGTCTCCCCTGTTCTCTTATTATTTTCTGATCAGATAATCAGGCGAATAGAGAAAACTGGAAACAGAGTTTCTGTATATGTAAAAGTTTATGTTCATGATTGTAGTACTTTGTAGTCTTGTATGTGGTTATCGGTGTTTCAGAGAAAGCTATAAACTTCTGCCCTGAAGACGGATACACCAGGTGACTCTGAAACATGACTTCATGGTATCATAACCTGTGAGACCATGGTCTGAACTTGTATTGACTTAGTTCAGGTCTCACAGATGAAGTTTCTCTCAACTTCATCCTGAATCACATGTATTCTTTGCCATTAGGTCTGCAACATCTTATTCACAGAATGCCCAGTTTGCAGGCTTGGTAAGATGTGTTTCAGTAAAGGTCCGCAGCGCAGAAGTCATGCTCTGTGGTCTCGCATACCAACAACTGAACAGTACCTTTCACTTTATTTCCAACACGGATTTTGAAATAATGGAAAGTTTAAAATGGCTTTTCACATAATTGTAAATGTCATACTTGTGAGAGATTCTTTACAGTCTGTGTTTGAGAACTTCGGAAATGTATCAAAAATATTTTTGATCCCACTATTAAAACATTAAAATGTGACAGTGTTCTGAGAACCTTGCAAGTCTGGTGTTACAGCATAAATGTTTACTTTAAAATGGCGTTAATTTGAGTAGAGGTTTTATATTAGAGGTGCATAATTCTTGTACACTGGAGTTCTGGAGAAGGGTTTCAGGAAGCTTTTGGTTTTACCACAAATATTGAAATAAAAAATATTTTAAAATTATGTGACATGCCCACTATTTAATACTTCTATGGGTGGTGTAATGGCTTTAAGGTTGCTGTTTCACAATTTAAAATGTTTTCACAATAACATTGACATTTTATTGCATATTTCTTCAGTTTTTTAAATCACATTATAGATATGGTGACATTGCGGTTGTATCATCTTCCCCATTCCAACCATACAACAGACATTTAAATAGAGAACAGTCACAGTATATACTATGTGGCCTCAAAAGTCAAATATTCTGCACGTTTTTGCCGTCGCATAATGCAGGGTCACATGTGTTGTAAGATGATAAACCTGGAAGCATTGCCCACTTTTAACTGCGTCTTCTACTTTGTAATTTCAGTGGGAAGAAAATAGTTTGAAAATCACTATGTCAGCATTCTTTGGTTGGTTAAGGAAATGTAATCAGTCGGCTCAAGAGCTGTGTAACATTTTGGCATAATTATTGTCGTGTATGAGTGTGACTATAGATGAGGTTTGGATTGGTAATCAGATTTACTGAACTCTTACAGACCCATGAGTACAAGTAATTATAACCGTTTTGCCAGTTCACACTATAGTGTTCACTAGAGCATGCACTTCAGTCTTCTCAGCCTGCCGTGTATTTACCAGTCTTCTGGTTTTGACTTCAAATGGTGGACGTTCCCCTTCCTCTGGGTTCCCGAACTGTCCCTGGCCTTAGCTGAAGCAACTCTCAATTATTGGACTAATGGACTAACCAACTCTTCTCTCACTCACTGAGTCACAGTCAGAGTTACTTTACGTCTGGCATTTTACCGCCAGTTGGTTCGCCTTGACATCAACCCCTTGAAGTTCATGGAGTTTTTTTTTATTGAACCATGCAGACATAGTCCTTTTGTAACATCCACTCTGACGAGAGGATGGATTTGCCTCTTATGAATAAGTCTGGCCTTGTCAAGTGTATGTATCACATGTAGCATGTTATTGAAAATTCTTGCTTTTGCATTATATACGAGTTCCCTGTCAGTCCAGGCTTTGGAAAGCAGATGATGCCTCTCATACATACTATAAACAGCAGCTTAGTCACTTGAGCGATTGTAAGCTTGACCACCCCCAAGTTTAAGCTTCTTATATTTTCTGTGTCTGGCTTCACCATGTCCTGTACTGTGAACATGTTCCTTCTCATGATGGTATATGATTCTGCTTGTTGCCTGCACAACCAAGGTTCTCCACACCATTGCAAATTTTCCAAGGTGTGTGTGGCTTTCAACCTTCCATGTATATATGATTATAACTTGCTCACTGTCCTGCTTATATCATCTCAGCATGGACTGCACAGAGAACACTGCTACTTTGTTGCAGTTTACAGGCCATTGCCTAATTGTTTTGTGGTTGTTTCCTGGCAGTGGGTGCACATGTTGAATTATGTTGACCACATTTTATCTGGAACATTTTATAATCTGATAAATGGTGAATGAGGTGCTCCCAAAAAAGTAGTTTGGACTGTAAGCGCAGTTGCATCCTTTGTTGATTGTTCTGAACTAAGAGTGTTGTATGCTGAATTTTACTAAGGAGGTCCTGTTTTTAGGGGTATATGTGTAGAATATAAAACCCTCCCAGACTAAACTTTGGGGTGTCATGAAATGGAAGGCCTCTTGTCCAGTGTTAACCAAGGTTAAATATGTGGATTTTAGTATAGGCTGCTGATACTAAATTACAGTAAACCGTCACTAATCCGGTTACAGTTAATCCAGATATTGAATGTTCCAGATCAAAATATGAAACATTAAGAATTTCATTCATAGTTGAGTGCATACTTTAAAAGATACATGGAATTAAGGAGCGAGAGAACTTTAAGGCTGTGTTGAGGGCAGCTGGATGGCCTGAAAACCTTGTGAGAAAATACGCAAGTTTGGCTTGAGCTGGACGAAAGAGACCTTGAAATTCAGCTTCTGACAGGGGAAGAAATTGCTACAGTGGTATTATTAAATTCTCCATTTATCCATTTTCTAAGTTTTGTCTTTTAGGGCTGTATTTTGCCTCGTTAATCTGGACTATTGGTTAATCCGGATGACCTCCCCCAGTTACTCCAAATAATCGAAGGTTTACTGTATCTTAATATCTGTCAACACTGTAGGTCTAGAGACAGGTTGTTTGCTTTGAATCTTCTGTTTTGTCATTTTATCTGTTGTACCAGCTCTGAAGATAGTATAGATCTCAAAGCCCACAAGATATACAAGATATGTATGTGTGTTGTATGGACACATTTTGCATTCATGTATCTGTGTGCTGATAATCTAGCAGATATAGCGCCTCGATGTCTCACAACCCTGTGGGTCTCTATGGTCTTTTATAGGGATAGCTTTACCTTTTTTATTTGTCGAGTCTAATTACTTCTAGACGCTCATTAATGTACGTATTGCATGGTATAATTCTTCACTGTCGTGCCTTGATAGTGCACCTTTGTGACTGTGTTTTCATGAACTGGTTTTCATTGTGTTTTAGGCGTTAAGCAAGACTCATCGGCTTCTGGTCGACCGGCCCCCCTTTTGCAGGAACCTAGATTTGGGGCTGGCCCTCAACCCTATCGTAAGTAATAGGCTTTTCAGTGAGAAGCTTGAACATCTTCTCATGACAACACAACACAACCCCTCCAGATCAGTTTCTGTTTCATGATAATCCAAAATTACCAGAACACATGCTATTGTGATTTCCATGGTTAAACAGTACAGCTAATTTATTAATTCTTTGCCAGCAGTTATTTTGTTTATTGGAGAGTTAAGACACAGTTTTTAACTTCAGAATTTTCATGTGCTCTGCTATGCAATTAAGCAGGTGAATATCTGACAGACTGTAATGTCATAGGAATTAACCTCTATTCATTGTTCATTGCACTGTTGCATTGATATGTGCTGGTTGAACATTGTTCTCTTTTAATACCAGTACAATCACCCTCAAGTTAAAGTATGGCCACCGGGATCACGAGGGGTTTTGAAATCCCTCGTTTGCAGACAATAAAGTTTAAAGGAATATGTATACCATAGCAGATTAATTCATTATTTTATACTTGACAAGCAGAAATACCAGTTGTTTGATGCATTTGTTGCTTTCTTGTCAGTGTCACTACAGGCTAAAACAGAATTCACACGCAAGATCTCCATTGTGTGATTCCTTGTTAAAGAAACAAGATAAAATATAGTACAACATATGTCATGTCGTGTTTAGTTCGTATGATACATGCGGCACAGATGGCACAAGCTATCAGATGAATAAACCAGCGGCATCTCATAGTTACAATAGTTGTTTGAATTTGCCTCCATCCATTGTAAGGGAGGCAGTATTGTGCCCCATGGCATTCTCTATAACGCCCCATAACATACTGTCATCGACTGTTGTCACAACTGTTTGAAGTCTTGCCATGAGACCTTCTATAGTCCTGGGAGGGAGTACACAAACATGCTCCTTTAGGTGTCCCCACAAGGGGAAAAATGCATCATAATTAGTTCCAGCAACCGAGAAGGTCATGCAGTAGGGCCTTGACATCTGGTTTACCGTCCTGAATATGTTGCACTCACCCACTACTGGATATATTGCCCATTGTGCACTGGTGCTCCATCATTCTGAAACCACAACCTGTTCCTCAGAGCTAGAGGCCTATCTTCAACCAGTGCTGGTGGAACGGTTTCCTGAAAATCATTGAGCAGTCAACCTTTTCCTGCGGCAGGTGCCATCCCACAACAGTGTCCCTAATGAATCTGGTCCAAATGCCAACACTTAAGTAGACTTAATGCCCAAGTTCTCATATAGCACGAGGATTATGAAGTGCTTATCTGCAGTGTGCTGATATTATAACCGTTTGCAAAATTGCACCCATAGAGGATAGTCCTCTGGAAATGTATGCTCCAGAAGTAGTGATATGAATCCAGTTGATTGTGATGTACTTCGTGAACCGTCGGCTGATGTAATCCTAATCCTCGTTACATGTTACGTGAGCTTCCCCATGACTTGTTCCATAGCTGCAGTTATGGTATCTTCGTGTGTTGGTGTTATTGCAGTCCGTGAGCAGCCTACATTCACATGTGCCGTAGGTGTTTATTTCCTGCCTAATGGAAATGCTACTCCAATTGTTGAAACACATTAGAGTGTGGATGACGTCGACCAGGATAACATAGCACATACTCTTACCCAGCAGTTCCAGCAAAACAGTTATCACAGGATAAGTGCATGTTACGTTAATCATCATGCATGTATTCAGTGATCACTCAGTCACAACTTACCCCTGCTGTGAATTGTGCATCTTGAGTACACCTAACAGCTGCGTATTGTCACTGCTGAGGAGTATGTTACCCTGTTTGACAGCGATGTTTGTCAGATCTAAGCATCTTGGGAAATGTAAAACATTGTTTACTTGCAAAGGCAAAAATAATACTGTCTAATGTGACTATTTAAGTTTCATCACGTGAGGATTTATCTCCCTTACATACTTCGATCCTTTCGGATCATCCTCGGAGGGTATCAATACTTTCAGAAACTACTATTACAATAGATGTTAATTGTATGAATACACATATGGTGTCTAAAATGCACAATATACGCAATGTTCAACTTTCCACATTCACGCTGGCCTTCTTGGTGTTAAAACTTTTTAAAAAAGTTTATTTTAAAAACTTTCAAGATCAAGCTAAAAATTTATGAACCATACAGGTTCGCATCAAATCTCCTATTGTTATTTGTGGAGGTGCCTGGTCTTGTGCCGCCTGTTTATCTTGTGAAAGGAGGTTCTTAGTATTTCCGTGTTTATGCATTTATGCAAACAACACAGCAGGCCAAGCATAAGCACGGAAATACCAAGAATCTCCTTTCACAAGATAAACAGGCGGCACAGGACCAGGCACCTCCACGAATAACAATAGGAGTTTTGACATGAACCTGTATGGTTCATAAAATTTCAAGTTTGATCTTGAAAGTTTTTAAAACAAACTTTTTTAAAAGTTTTAACACCAAGAAGGCCGCTGTGAATGTGGAAGGTTGAACATTGCGTATATTGTGCATTTTAGACATCATATGTGTATCCATACAATTAACATCTATTGTAATAGTAGTTTCCGAAAGTATTGATACCCTCTGAGGATGATCCATAAGGATCGAAACATGTAAGGGAGATAAACCCTCAAGTGATAAAACTTAAATAGTCACATTAGATGGTATTATTTTTGCCTTTGTAATTGTTAGTGTGACGGACCAGAATGAAACAAATCAAATTTATGTTTTACTTGTTTTGTAGCAAGGAATCACACTCACATTAAGAAATTAAAGTTTACTCTTCTAATTAAAGAAAAGGCATTTTGAATGAGGATTTGAATTCCATCCACACATACTACTGCAACACTTGAATATCATTTTAACAGCTGTACTCAGCAGTAGTATGAAGTAAAGTTTGTAATATATTCAAATGTTCTGTGTTATATTGATGGTATGAAACAGGAAACAGATAACCTGTAGACAGTTTACATATATTAAATTATATTTTGTTGAGTCTTATCTTTGTCATATAAACTATTGAAAGCCAGTTCCATGATTCTTATCCTGAGATTCAAAACAAGAGCAACACAGTCAGATGCTTGGCAGTTGTGAACTTAACGTGGCAGATGCCATTATACTACAAATTATAATATAAATTGGCATTGCTCCTTAGCACAAAGTCTTGCTTGGGCAGTAGGTTGATATTAACTGGTAGTAAGATACCCAACTGTTGTGTAAACAAGAAAATTCATCAGTGTCATTACAGTGGTGGTAACAAACAGATGTAAGTATGAAAATCAGTGTCATTCCGTGATGAACGGACATGATCTTGCTTTGAGAACCTGATAGCACCGAGCTTGTTTCATGCTAACCACTCACGTTCTGAAGACAATAAAGATGAGATGCTTTTTAGTTCAAGAATCTATAAATGTTAAATGCAGAAGACCACCGCCAGCACCGTAAACTGTATCCCATATTGCAGTGATTTGTCTGCACTGGCTTGGCCATTGTTAATAATCCTGATTCCCTTCCCTACACAATAATTATAATTTTTAACTGATGTTGATTTTAATCATATGATGTATTGCACTTTCATAATAGTACATTTATGTCCCAAGTTCACTGTAAGATCGCTGTTAAGCATTCAGAAGAATTCAGTGCCTCAGCCATCGTGTGTATTGCTTATCTGGATATTCACATTGTTATGGTGTGTACCTGCAGAGGATGATGGTAAGAAGTAGAAAGGATGGAGATTGAAGTGATTGTAGCCTGATTTCATGGTGGAAGAAGTAGCAATAGGACAAGCATGACATTTCCTGTTCTTTTACACCTCCACCTAGCAGTGAGGCTAATGTATGGAACTCTACCTCCACTCCTCCATATGCCTTCATGGCATTAATTGCAGGGACACGATTTTTAAATATGCAGCATTTATAAGCTTGAAGAAAGCAGTCTTTTGGGATGTGTGACCATGTAGATGTGGTGTTAACCGACGTTTCAGAGGAACGTCAGTTAACACCACATCTACACAGTGCCACATCCCAGAAGACTGCTTTGTTCATAGTCACCGCTGTGAAAACCTCAAATCTTACATTTATAAGCTCGGCCACATAATAAAATAGAAATTAAGAGACATGGTGCATATGCCTTCATGGCGTAGAAATGGAAGTGCTGAGCAAGTTGTAATTTAGGAAACTGGAGAGCCATTTCGTAGTGATGAACGTAGATGTGAGTGACAAGGATTTATTATGCCATCTTAGGAATAGAGGTAGATGTGTGTGGTATAAGGCATACATCATACACTCTGCTCGGCAGTTTAGGTTTCGCATTGTTGTGTCCTGTCTGATCATACTCCTCCTATATCTGTGCTTCACACTTCTGCTCCAGGAGGTGATGGCATGATGCGTGGCAGTGGTGGCGGCAGTGGAGGGGGAGGAGGACTTGCTTCGTCATATGCGGGGGCGGCAGATCGTTACGAAGACGGCTATCAGAACGGGCCTCCAGGCTCATATTCAGATCAATATGGAGACAGATATCAGTCTGACAGGTAAGTAGCTTTTCTGAAAAATGTACTGTGCTTAAGTCTCCCAATACGAGCCTTACGGTATGGATAAGAGTGCTAGTAACAGCCATCCAAGGGTTAGGTACAGCAGTTCCATTGGCACAATGTCGTATACATTTAATCAAATGATATACCTTATTACATTCATTTTTCCACTTAAGTGTTAAGACACTGGCTGGTATATGCAAGCAACAGTGAAATGGAGAAATTAATGTAACATCAGCCTTATGATGGCCGATTATGCAAAAGCAGGTAGCAAAATAAAATGAAAGTTATTTAATTAATGGTTTATTATGTTGAGTCAGCTGTGCTGCCATGTCTAATGCAATATGCATCGTGGCACTCCGGTATGTTACTTCATATCTAGGATCATTCTTAGATATCTACTCATAATGCAAAAATGAAAGGGGTTTTTTGCACTTTTAGCACGGCTTCACATAAGCGGCATTTCCATGCCCTTTTGATTTTGTACATGTAGTTGGGTGAAATGGTGAGATCTGAGCTGTGCAGTAGAGATGGGACACTGCCTGGTATTGGCAGCCATACCAAAGCTTACATCCCACCAGATAGTCTCACTCTGTCTCTAGTCTCATACTGTTCTCTCTACTTTCCCTGCCTGGTCTTCATAATTTTTAAGACCATCACATTATTTAGATGTCCTGTGAACCAGAAAAATAATTCATATGAAAGCACTCTGCACTCCTATTTTCTGGACCTTTATACACCTTTGTCACTTAACTCTTTGGCTGCCAAGCCCTGGCACTGAAAATGGCAAGATTGATGATTTCAGGTGCAGTTAAAAAGGAAACTTACTATGCTTCCCTTAGATGGCATTCAGATGAGAAGAGAAACATGTCTGTGCAAGTCTGTTCTTTCCGCTGAACACCAGTAGACATCAGTACACATGATGTCTGTTGAAAGAATGTAATACAGATTGGTAGCTCAGATGCAACAACCCCCAAGCTGATCTGTTCAGTGTAGAGTGCAAAGGGCTAATCTTTGATGCAGTCAGTAGCGAAACACCATTTTGCCTGTTTACTATTTATCATTGTTATACATAGTTCTGAATTATAGAAAGAGCTGTAATGAGACTGCTCAAGATTTGTTTTAACTCTTTCTATTATTTTATTGTCCTAACAGCAAAGGAAGAATGTTGTTCCTCTGCTCAGAATTAGGAGTAGGTATAGCTACAGGCTATGAGCTGGATGGTCAGCGTTCTAATCCCAGAAGGGGTGATTTTTTCTCTTCTCCATAACATTCAGACTGGCTCTGGGGCCAACCCCATGTCCAGTGTGTATGGGGAGCTCTGTACCCAGGGCATGAAGCTGACTGCTCACATCCATCTTGTGCTGAGGTCAAGAATATTGGAGCTATACAGGGTGTCTGTAATGAAACGCCCTGATTTTATCATATTCTTAGGAAGTAAGGAATAGAGATATGGCCTAATTATTGATAAATATCAGTCACACAACACACACAGTTTAGTTTCAAAAACCAATACTCTTCTGCATGAGAACGATTGGTGACAACATAGGATATCTAGTCTGTAATTAAGTTCTGCCAGGGTCAGCTGTCTGGAGTGATGGTACAGACAGCTTCCACAGTCTCGAGGCCTAGGGATCTTGAAGGACTCGCACTTTCGTGGCATAAATTCTGTCCTTCGTGTAGCCCCACAAAAATAAATCCAGTGGCGTGATGTTGGGAACGTGGAGGCCAATCCGTTGGACCATCTCATCTTATCTAAAGGCCTGGAAATGTTGCATTCAGTGCTTGCCGCATGTCTAGCGAACAGTGAGGTGGAGCTCCATCTTGTTGAAAAAAAGACATTTGGCTGCAGGAGGAAAGGCTTAAGAGCTGCAGAATGTCCAAGTATGAGCTACCTGCGGCTGTCTACTCCGCAAAGCATGACAGTCCAATGATCATGTTGCACATGATGCCACACCAAATATTCACTTTGGGGCTGTGTGGCACATGTTCCACAGCCGTTATGCCTGTTTACAGCACCAGAGGCATGAAACGTGACCTCGTCGGAAAACATGATGTTTCTCTGCCAGTTTGGTCAAGCATGTCACAGGCAAAATTGTGTCGTCATGAGTTGTCCTCTGGTTTCAACTCCTACAGAATCTGCACCTTGTACGCATAGAGAGACAACCACTTTTGGAGAACCTTATGCACAGTTGCTTGTGACATCTGCCATTCCCATGAAGCCCAAGGATATGGACATTCTCTACCTTCTCATCAGAGACCTGTTGTAGGCCTCCTCTATACCCTTTCAAGATACCCCCAATCTCCAGAAACATGTGCCATGCTTTGGTCCTCTTTGCATCTCTTCTTTCTGATAAACACTATGAAACTCCCTTTGCACACTGACAGTGGACTTGAACACAGAAAGCCACAAAACAGCTCGCACCTTCTGAGTTGATGCCATCTCTGCGTGAAGTGACAACAGTGTCCCATGAGGTAGCCTAAAAATGTAGGCATGAATTTGAACTCCTGTAGTACAGAGGAGACCCTTAACATGTGGGGCGGAACATTTGCCTATTTTTTAAACATCTTCGAAACCAGGGTGTTTCATTGTAGACAACCTGTACCTCCACTCCACCGTATATCTTCATGGCATGCTGCTCAGTTAGTTAAGCAGAGGGTATCACATGCCCAGTAGTCATGTTAATGCTCTAAATCTGACTTCATAGTACTTATCGCCGCTTGTTTTTATCAGCAGTTCGGGAATGTGACTAAATTGATGCTGTCTTGTGTTAGGTATAGTATGAAACAAGATTATGGCAGGGAGCCGCTTCACCCTACTCCTCCACGATCAGGCTATGGACCCGCAGCCATACCACAAACCCCAGGAGGACCTAACGCACCAGGGCCACAGCAAGGATCAGTCATGATGGTTTATGGGCTTGATCCAGAGAAATCCAATACTGATAGACTGTTCAACATTTTCTGCCTGTACGGCAATGTGCTGCGTGTAAGTGTCACAGTACTGGCTATGTTTGGTGTCGTGTCCTGTTGTGTGTAGTCGATTGTCACTGAACAGTGGGATTTGTGGGTTTGCAGATTAAGTTTCTGAAGACAAAGGAAGGCTGTGCTATGATTCAAATGGGGGATGGCTTGGCAGTGGAACGCTGTGTGCAAAACCTGAATAACGTGACTCTGATGGGGTCAAAGCTGCAGTTGGGGTGAGTGGCGACATAGTAGAAATTAATGCATGCAGTGAACAGAAGTTTGTCATTCCAATTTTGGTACATTTGAATTGGCCTGCAATGGAGTATTACAGCAATAACTGCTAGTGTGAAGATGTATAGCAATTCTAAGTAAGAAGGAAACACAGTAACGCCATGAATAGAGCAGATGTTTTATCGTTAGTTACTGCACAGTGCGCCGATATGTCAGGTCATTTGCACCGTCAGCGAACGTATGAGTTGAGGTTCTCACAGTAGTGGATGTGTGAAGAGTCTTGTCTTCTGGGTTATAACTCTGTGAAGTCTGTTGAGAGGCAACTGATGTTTTGGACGAACATGTCATTTGACTTTCAAGGGACTTACTTACTTGCTTCGTTACTCATGGAGCTGAGCCCTTCTTGAGGAGCCACCAATTCTGCTGCTACTCAAGAATTTCCCAGCATTTTATGGAATCCGAAGGTTCATTACCATGTTCACAAGAGCCCTCCATCAGTCCCTATCCTGAGCCAGAGATATCCAATCCATACCATCCCATCCTATCTCTCTTAACATTCATTCTGATATTGTTCACCCACCTACACCTTGGGTGTCCCTGTCGTCTCTTTCCTTCTGTCTTTCCCACCAATATCCTATACGCATGTGCTACATGACCTGCCCACCTCATCCTCCATGACTTGATCAATCTAATTATACTTGGAGAAGAGTACAAGTTATGAAGCTCCACGTTATGCAGTTTTTTCCAACCTCCTGTCACTTCATCCCTCTTTGGTCCAAATATTTTCCTTAACACCTTAACACACTCAAACACCCTCAGTCTATGTTCCTCCCTTAATGTCACAGACCAAGTTTCACACCCATACAGAACCACAGGAAAAACTATAGTTTTGTATATTCTAATTTTTATGTTTTTGGACAGCAGACGAGAGGACAAGGCTCTGGACCGAATGGTAGCAAGCATTCCCTGAGTTCAATCTCCTCTTAATTTCCTACTGAATCAGGTTTCGATCCATAAGATAGAACTCTCGAGGCGACAGACATCTTGTGATCAGTGAGGTAGTGACTGAAGGAACTGTTTGTCTTAAGGTCTGGATTTGTAACTGTTGCAATGAAGTGTAAAATTCAGGAGCAGGTTTTCATGATCACAACCTGCATAAGAAAGTGAGATTTGTGAGTGATGCCCAGACTGAAGAAGTGCAACACTAGGCCAGCTGGAGCATGCAGATTGCTGTTGCAATGAAATGATGCATGACCAATACAGGTTATTTATATACATTGTAAATTGATTGACATCTCTTTGCAGTGCAGTGTCTGTAATGTTGACAGTGGGCCAGTATGGACGAAGACTGAAATTGTTCAGATTTTTATGGAAGCATTTTTTAATCTTTGTTCGCTTGGATTATTTGCTCAGTTGATAAGTTGAGGCTCCGATATTTGACATTCTATGGTGAATGATGTGTGTTTAAGAATCATTTTACATATTTACTGTACGTTAAAGGAAACATTATATGCACAGGTTTTCCAAACAAGCATTCCTAAGTGATGTACAGAACCCACACTCACTGCCTGACAAGAGTCCATCCTTCAAAGACTTCACAGGCAACAGAAACAACCGTTTTATGAATCCTACTATGGCCAGCAAGAACAGAATACAGCCTCCATCTAAGGTAATTACTCCTATTGAAAAATTTTAAGTTTGCTGTAGACACATTCAATAAGAAATTGCCCAGTATCCTGAGCTCTGAATAATCATTGTGCAACGTACATCTCCTTATATTTTTCATATTCACCCGTCAATGGACAAATGTTGGATTAATGAAATGTTTATGTATGTATGCATAATCTCATATCCTTACATGCCACCTAAAACCAAATGTATGTAACAGTCCCAAGAGGGAGACTGTGTTTTACCAGGTTTGTAAACAGCTGATGCTCTTGTATGTTTTAATGTTGATTGCTCTACACAGATGGCAGCAATCATGAATAGTTCTTATAAGTTTCAGACTTGAGCAAGTATGATTTATGCCTCCCTTGCTCTTTTATTCAGATGCTTATACCATACTTTTAATGTTGCTGTCTATATTGCCAAAATTTGTATGAACCAGTACATAAGGGGTGTAACCTAATGTAGAACAAAAAGTGCTGGTGTTTGCTGCACATCAGGAATTTGTAGCCATGGGTACAGATGTGTTGACTGGTTTCTAGTGCCTTTACATGCCTTGGCAAGGGTGTAGAATCTCTCTGAGGTAGGAGAACCCATATGGTGGGTTCTGTTACCCACACTTAAAATGAGTGTTCATGATAGTGAAGGTTGGCTGAATTGGCTGTACAAAGGTCGTGCCATAGCTTGGGCGGTTAGTCACCAGCTTCTTACCACAATGGCCCAGGTCAGGTCATGTGGGATTTGTGGTGGACAAAGTGGCACTTAGGCAGGTTTTGTATGATTACTTAGGTTTCCCCTGCTAATTCTCATTCCACCGACTGCTCCACATTCATCATCATCTATCATCTGATGTCTGTACAATAGACCAGTTAGGGGCTGACATACCAAGTGGGACTCAGTCTCACCCCCACCCCAAGAAACTAAGAGGATGTACAGCGTAACGTTTACAACAAAATACAGTGGGCCCAAGTATTTCCTACATTCCCAAAGTTTTATTTCAGTGAAGGTGAAGGTTTTAATCACTGAGCACATATATTTGCACACAGGTCTCATTTGGGATTGAAATAAGAACTTTTTAATGAAAGTCTATTGTTGTACCCTGAGACATGTATTGTTTGTTGTCTGATGGTCTGCTTGAAGAAATAGTTTGCTAAGCAGTGTTTTAGTTCAAAGAATTTTCTGAAGGTAATTCAACTGCTTGGCATTATCACTTCTGGAAATGAAAATTGAGGATAGACCTCTCCCATTTGTCCGGTCATTCCAATATGTATGTGCAATATATAACATTAAAATTTTGTGTTCATGTCCAGATCCTGCATTTCTTCAACACCCCACCAAACATGACCGAGGAACTACTTGCCAAGGTGTTTGAAGATAATCAAGCACCATGTCCAAAGACCATCAGATTATTCCCACTGAAGAGTAAGTATGCATTGAACACTTAAACACAGTATGCCAGGATAGCTTACTAACTTTGCTGAGAAGCAGTGGTCACTTGGTCGGTATAGTTCGCTTGTGGACTGAAGCCACTGAGTTGTCTTCTATGCCGGGATAGCTCAGTATAGTGACTAGGCAACTGGCTTGATGACCAAGGAGTTGTGGTTCTATTCCTGGCAAGGACATAAAATCCAGACCAGCTCTGGGATCCATGCATCCTCTTGTCCCTTAGGTTCCACATGCTTTCTGCAGAGGTGGAGTGACAGGGATGAACCTGACCTCTCACCTTCATCACGTGCCAAGGTTTCAGTGTGCATAGAGCTATGTATATATTGAACCATATGTTTTCATGACTTGATACTTAATTAAGAATCGGGACAGTTTTGCCTTTTATATGTATGTGTTCGACTTTCTTACTAAGTTTATTGTGGCAGGACGAAGAATAAAACTGCATGGCATCACAAATCAGAAACATTATTTTTGAATGATCATCTAGTGGGAGAGGTGCAGGAGGAGATAATTGTGACCTGTTTTGAATGCAGTATCTGAGCATTTGCCTGGTATGACTAAGGCAACCCATGAAAATTCCCTTCAGTCATTTGAACTGTCTTCTTCCTTTCTTAGCACATTTAATGAAACATGTATGGTATGTATATCATGCCACCTGAGGCCATCTAAGTCATTAGTGCCAATACTGCGGTATATCAATTTGTTTAACTTAAGCCACACATACTTATTGGGGCTTCTTTCTGATTGTATCAAATACTCACATTTTAATGAGAGGAAAGAAGGTGATTCTTCCTAGAACTTCTTTTTACATGTTGGATGCTCTCTTCTTTTATCTGTGTCTTCCATTTTGTCTTGCCTGACTTGCATTCATAGGATATCTTGTTTTTCATCTCTTGCACAATGTCATCTAAAATAAGAATGTTTTGTATTTATGAGTTATTTAGCAACGCTCCTAGTGGCATGGATTATGTAGCGTCAAATTGTGTGATGAATTGAAAGGGGCGTGAGTGGAAGCACTTATGTCCTATTTTAAGTGGCCTCCGTAGTCTAGAAGTAACGTTCCCACTTCATGACTCGTAGTACACGGGTTCAAATACCCAGCGGAGGTCGTTGATTTTTAAGGGTGGAAAAATTCAGGGGACAAGTCCTCTGGGAGGGACTTTAAGCCGTGGGTCCCGTGTCGTAGCTTTACGGCACGTAAAAGAACCTCATATCTCTAAAGGAGGTCACTGAGCCAAATTACAGAAGTTTCCCACCCAACAGCAGTCTCTAATACCTCTGGTAAATGGGGGAAGCATTATAGATACCTCTCAGCTAGTAGAGCCGGTCTCGCTGGCTGCGCGGGACTGATGGTAAGCACCAGTACCGGTAGGATATAGAGACTGGTAGAATATCATAGAGGGAAGCACAATGGACCAATACAGGTCTCAGTGCATGGGGAAACCCACCCTCTCTAATAACTAACTAACTAACTAACTATGTCCTATTTTAATGTACTATCTCAGCATTTGTGGAGGGACTGATGAACACCATGAAGACATTGTCCCAACTCAGATTCAAGTGAGGCATCTGCGAGCCTTACCACCTGAGCCAGCTTGGTGTGGTGTTTTATTTATGTTCTGTATTACAGTGCTAATTAAATTTAGAATTTTTTGTTACCTTTAGTTATTTCTGGCATGTTTCAAGCAGCAGACAGAAGCTCGTCTGGCCTCTTGGAGTTTGAGGATGTGGCTGATGCACTGATTGCCCTCATGCTTTGTAATCATGCTGCTATTGAGAACCCAGGCAAGTGGCAGTCATATTCTAATTTAGAACACTATGAAATTAAAGAAGACCATCCTGTCTGTAGTAAAGGAAGGAAAAATCAAATTTAGAAGCTAGGCTGGTGGCATCATTCCTAGAAGCCCTGCAATTATTAATTCCTTAAGATTGTTTGTGTGTGCACATATGTACATGTGCTCCTGCATGAGCCTGCCTGCCCCCCCCTCATATAATGGCACCTGATGGTACGTCAACAGCATATTTCATGAGTCACTCTGTGTGTGTGTATGCGTATCCCCCTATTGTTGCTAGGCAGCAGCACAGTATAAACATTACTACCGCAATGAATACACGGGCAATATAGAAAATTTGTTGGTTGCGTCATTTTGTGTGTTCATGTCATATCAAGTATAGTAGGTAAGTAGTTCTTCCCATAACTTTTTGTTTCATATCAGGATGTTACTAAAAATAATGAACATTGAAACCAGTGAGAAGTTTGCAAATGGAAAGATTGGATTAGATAATTTGTATTCCACATATGAGACTGCATTTTCCTACATTTGAAGTTACAGTAATATTACCACTATGGGAGCATTATAAGTGCAGTTTCATATATCTCAGTAAGTCTGTGTCGATGTTGCAGGTGGCAAGTTCCCGTACGTCATGAAGTTGTGCTTCTCATCATCCCGTCAGATCCCAAATTCCATGCGCAGTGGAGGGAACAGCGACCAGCAGCAACACCAAGATATGCAAGATGAGAACCTGGAGTAGATGCAGATATGAAGCGTTCAATATTTTTCGTTTTCTTTGGTGGATCAGGAGTAGTTGTAATCATCTCTTCGCACCCTGCCCTCTGTTTTGTGAGGGGCCCCCCCATGTTCCTCAGATCTTACTGAATAGAAATTATATTCATCTAATCAGTTTTACTTACTTGACTCTATTCACACACTGATTGGTAATGTAAGAATTCATGGGCCATTTCTTAAAAATACATGCAATATAAAAGCATTCTGTAAGCATCAACCAGGTTAATTGTGCAGTAGCATTATTTCTGTGTGAGAAATCAACCATTCCGTGATATACCTGTGTATACCATTCACTGACATTCACAGCTTTCCTGACTTTTTGTGGCTGGGGGATGAAAATCCAAGTGTTATGGGTGGTTGTTTCATGTAGCAACATTTTACTGTGTTTTTTAGAATTGGATAACCATGGACCAAGGCATTGGTTGTTACACATAAGCCAGATACTTTATTTTTAATTTATTTAATTCACGTGGTATTGCCAGATCACAAGAACATGCAGTTGAGGTGTTGATTTTAGGACAGTTCAGATTTGAGCTAAAGTTATAGCAGCGTAGTGTCTCTGTATCTTGACTTTCGGCATCACAAACCATCACTCCTCCAAGGTAATACTTAATTTCATTTATTGGCAGGGTGAGGAGTTTCTGAAGCAACATAAAGTCGTATGTTATGAAGGTCAGAAGGCTTGATGTGTAAGAACTTGTATTTCCTGGCTGTATAACTATTTCATCTTTGCAGGTTGTCTCTACCATATATTTTGACTTGCACTGGATAACATGATAGAAGTGCATTGGGGCAATGTTCCACCCCCATACCTCATCATCACATGATGTATTTTTGTGTGATTTAACCCTTGTACTCTCAGATCTGTATGCAGAAGTTACGTGACTTTTTCATAATACTCCAGCCAAAGCTGTTCAGTGCAAAATAAAAAAAACATTGAAAAAGCAGATTCATTGTTATCATTTTTTAGTCTGCACATTAAAAGGAAAATAAATTTACTCAGGTCACAGCACTTTCCTTTTCCGCACTGTGATCAGGTGATCAGGCATGTGACGAGCACAAAGCATCTTTATTGATGCTGCTGATCACACAAGAGATTTCAGTGTAAGCAAATCTAATTGCCTTTGATTTCTTCAGATTCATTTACAGTAGACAGATCTTTTCCATTGACACCATGTGCAAATAGAGGGCAGGGTGTGCTTGCTGTTCTTTTGTTACATCATCTGCCTTTATCATTGTGGCAGCATGTCATTAATAAGTGTTGGGCCTAACCTAGGGTAGTCAATATGTTTTATACATCTCATGCATAGGAATTCCATTCTTCCGTTTTTATTCCTTAGATGGCCATGTACTCTTGATAAAGTAACTTTTTTTTTCCTGAAGTCCAGAGTGTGGAGAGGCTAATAAAGACATAGATGTGATGGGAGAAAGTAAGCTGACAGGACAGAGGACTCCCACTGTCAGGATGTTACCAAGTTGATTGTCAATTCTTGCACAAGGGAGGGTGACTGGAAGGCCAGATGTGCAGCATATATCTATACATGAGCAGATGTTCCAATTCTCGGACATAACCGCATCAACAACAACAACAAAATCCTCGTGTGCAAACATGAGGTGACTCTGAAACATATCAGTATAGTGCTTATATTTCAATTACTGGAAGAATTACTGTTTTCCAAAGTATGATTCCAGAAATTTTTAAACAGTTGTAATTGATGTTTTTTGTGTGTTCTATGTGAAGTGGCTCCTATTCTCTTGGTCATCGGTAAATTAGCTTATTGCTGTGCATTCATTGGGTCTTCCTCTTCAGTTTTGCAAGCTGTTTCCCCAGTCAGTGAGGTCCAGTATTGCTTCAACTTGGTTTTGCATACTTTTATAGAGTTTCCTTTTTTATAAGTAAGCATGTGCACATGTTAGATACTTTCTCCCTAAATGAGGAACCAGAGCCATTAAAGACAGTAGAATATAATGTAGATTGTAGATTTTGACGACCAGCATTTTGGTCACATTGGGCTGGTGCATTGCATTAAAGAACATAAGAGTGGCCTCTGTCATCTGGACCACCAGATGGTGATTTCTGACCAGAGAGAGGTTTCCCTCAATTCTTTTTCTTATCATCTGAAAGCAGAAGTACAGTTTTATATGAAATATATGTTATAGACTTTAATACTATTACAATTTTATTGCAAACAACCTTGTTGAATTGGTTTTATTGTTAATTCATATTTCTCGTCTCTCATTCTTTGCCATGTCCACTCTTTAATGAAGAGAAATATGTATTTTCAACTGAAGTTTTCTTAGAATTGGACCTGTCAGTTTTGTCAAAGAGAATTTTTGTTGGAAGAAACATGTAAACAGAAAAGATGGATTGGCCAAAGGAGAATTTACTAGGAGTTGAGGGTAGTAACAATGAAATTTTATTTTATACAGCCAATAACACTTATAAATTTTTGCTGTCTAGTAGGTGTCATCACTTTATTTCATTTCAGAAGCCTGTCTGGCTGTTAAAAGTGCAAAGTTAACATCCTATTAACTGCTTATTCTCAAGTTTTGCTGTTTTCATGTGTCTCACAAGTCTGCTTGATTCAGGAAATGACCTTTGTCACAGAATGTAGTGTAATCATCTCTGTACCAGCCCAGGTAACCATATGCATTTAGATTTATGACGTTCTGTTCTTCATGTAATGTATTGTTCTTGCTGGAGCGGCTTAATTGTGATGTAGACACTCAGATCCCTTTTCCGTCTGCCATCTCCTAAGTAGTTAATCCTATGTATTTCCCATTTCAGATTTTGATGTCCAAACACAACTTTATTGTTTGCACATATAATATGGCGATAGCATGGAGTCCAGCTAATCACTGCAGGACTTACCCTCTGTGGATGTACCTGTGTATCACCTAGATTAGTGGAAAAATGTGAAATTATTTTGCATTTAGAATAGTTCAGACCTACCCCGCTGTTGTCCACAGCTAATAGCGCTACAACACCAGTTTCACAATCCTGCCAGCCATGGCTGTTGCAGTGAGGTTAGCTCACCGCAGTGTCACTACTCTTTGCGCAGGCAATGTCTAGTTTATGAGCTTCTGTATTCTATACAAGTCATCAGGAGAAAAGAATTTTCATATATACAGAAATGTTCTTTGATTTAAATGGTTTCCAATTTAGCAGTCTATACTGTATACAATTTGGTACATACATGTTTATATAAATAAAGATAATGTGGATTGTTACTCATATAGAACGTTATTTATGTCTTCTGATCTGTGGTATGTATGATTAACGTATGAAACACATGGTTAATATTGTGGTGTTCCTTCTTTCTTGTCCTATAGTTACTATGATCATGAACACCTCCTTTATTTAGCCAGAAGTTTGTTTTCACTCGTCACAATAAATTTTCAAGATGTGAAATTAGAAACTGTATAATTTTGCAGAATAGTATGTTTATAAATATGTGATCTCGAAGATTGAATCTGTTGCCATTTAAGCCTTCAAAACCCCAGTGGTTGCTCTATGTATCACCTGGTTTTCTTACATACTGAAACTCTGCGTTCTGCCCACACAGTGTATTTGTGTGTTCCATGTGGTTCTCACAATAAACAGCATTAACTGGCAGGTTTTTGTAGTGGAGGCGAAATGTATTCCCTGTGTTGTGCGGACTGAATCTTTGTATATTAATGTGTTCAGTCTGTGTTAATGGAGTTATTTTGAAAGTAGAAATTTTTTATTGAATTTGAAGTTCATGTTTAAATGTTTTTTTAGTCTCCTGCCATTTCAGTTATGAATTAATATTTTTGATATGTTGGATTTGAAAATTTCTGAATCAGTTTCTATTGACTTTACAATGAAGCAAATTGAAATTTATTGTGATATTCCAGGTGACATTGTGATGACACTTCCTGCCCAGCCAAGGCACTCGTGGTGCATTGCGTAGAGAGTTTGCAAGTATTTTGTATAACATATGACTGAAGATGGGTGTTATATTGTAGTTTGCTGGTAGATCTGTTTTGACATCATTGTGATGTAGCTGCTGCTATAATGTTTTAGAACAGCTGCACCTGTTGTCCTTGTTGGAGGTGTTTTAACGCTACAGTTACAGGGCATGCAGAGTGGTAATCTAATGGACATTCTTTGAAAGTTCCAGTAAGCACTGTTTGCTTCTTGATAATTGTTTTATTTCTAAATGTATGAACTATGGAAATACATTTATATAGGTACTTGACATCATTTTCAGACTTGATAATTTTGGAACATTGCCTTTTCACTGGCAGGTATTTTGTTGCAGCTTATACAAATCTTATTTTGTTTTATAAAGATGATGCAACATGAGAGGCATAATAAATTGTAAGATACTTTGCGTGGTTTCTTTATATGTCTGAATTACTTGCAATAGGAAACTAACCTTTTGAGTAAAGTTTAGAGTTGACTGGTAGGACCAGCAAGCCTACCTCAGTGGTGTTATGCCACTTTCATGATATAGTAGTAGTAAATAACAGTAAAAAATATCTTGAGGTCTGTGAGGGTTTTAAAAACCTATTTCATTATTTATTGACAGTGAACATTCTCTCAGAAATGTATATTATATATATATTAAAATTTTTGTTGCCATTTTATATACATCGTACACTCCAGAATGACACAGAATAATTCCATAATTATAAAATACTGTAGGATGTAACCATGATGGACATTATTTTAAATTTCTTATGGTAAGCAGCATTGAAGATTTCCTATCTCCATTTTTGCATACAGTTTATAATGTACTAGTTTTTTTTGTTTGCATAATCAGCAGAAGTATTGTAGTAAAACAAAGTACAGCCTGCATAAGCTCAGTTTTATGGTTATAACTGACATTGAGTAAACTGGAAATTGGCATAACATGTTCACAGTATGAAGCTTGTTACAGCAGTGTTTATCTGTGTACAAGTTTGCAAATTGTACAATGTACATTCATGCAATTAACTTATACAAGATACCTCTATATTCACCTATGATGCATTTGTGAGATGATGGTGAATAAGGTTATGTTCTTCAGCAAATTTATATATATATATCCTTTCAATGAATTATTATTATTTCCTCTCACTTTCTTTGCAACTTGTATACATGCATTAACATTGCTAACATCACTTTTCTTTTTGGAAGTGTAGGTGTGCAAAAGGAAAAGCTGAACTATGTGAGATGTTGCTGCTATGACAACAGTGAGGTTGAGGCTGAGGCAGACTGATGTAGCTTGTGTGGAGTAGATGACCGAGAAGCTGCATCACAGGAATGTTGCATAAGAAAATTTGTGATAAAGTATAATGTTGAGTTTTGGCTTAGAAACTGTGAGTACCTAATGCACAAATAAGGAGGCATGACTGCACATATTTTAAATATGTGTAGCTTAGTGGCTACAGCTTCTGTCAAAAAGAAACATTTTTCACTTTATTTGCTTAATTTTAAATTTGTATTTGAGACCATGAAAATGCTGGTTGCTGTTGTCTCGTTTGCATTAGATTAACGTTTGGCATACAAATTTTGTAAAATTTCATCAAACTCTTTGATGTTTTAATACGAATATTGACACTTGAAGCTTAAGACAGTAAGACATTGGCCTTGTGTGCAGAAGATTTTGGATTGAGACATTGGCCTTCCATGCAGAAGATTTTGGATTGAGGCATTTGCCTTCCATGCAGAAGAATTTGGATTGAGGCATTGGTCTTCCATGCAGAAGATACTGAATTGAGACCAGCCAGATCCAGTATGCATATTTTTGTCACCTGAATACTTTTATATATATGAGAGATGCCAGTCTCCTTCTAGGGTTTGGAACTCTTGTTAAACTGTCAGTCACCTCTTTACCTCTGCTGACCATTGTTGTCTTCAGTTCTCTTGTCATCAAGGCCAGATGGAAACCCAACATCAGATGCTCCCCTCTGAAATGTGGATTCCTATCTTGACCATGGACTGGAAGGCAGATGTAGCAGCATAGCCAGGGACTACATGTAAAAGCATAAGCCACATACAACAAGTTGCAGTTATTTTTAAATGTAAACAAAGAATTGCAGTAGTTTTGAAAATTGACACTTTACTATAACCAGTCTTCCTTTTGTGCATAATTAAAATAGCTCATTGTTGGAGAAGTTAATTTCATGTGCTACGTATTCTGCATGTTTAGATGTGTTTTGAGAAGTGCCCATTTGTTTTGTATTGTCAGTACCTCACAAACAACAGTGCCCAAACTGTGAGACTGACATGCTGTAGTAGGTATACAAAACTTTTTGAACCACAATGAATTAGGTTAAGTTTATTTTGATGGTACCTGATTTATGACAATTTTTATTTTATGGCATGTAAATTTGATCAAGCAGTATATCTGTATAAGTAAGTGTTCACCATACAGAAAGTTGTCTAAGCTCTATAATGACTTATCTGCACAGACCTTGTTTGTGTGAAGGTAGTTCAGTTTAATTCCAAATGACAGTTCATAATCAGTTTCATTCTAATAATAGCAGTGCTTACATGGAACTTATTAACTGTGTGCTACAGTACATTAACTCCATTTATTTCCCCCTCCTTAAATGTGCAATTGAATTTTGACTTTGAGGGACTAAGATTGGTTTCTTCTGCATGCCTTTGTAATGGTTGCGTTATCACATTCCCATGCACATAGTCATAGAATTTATGTTAATTAAGGAAGAAACAAAAATAAGAGAACTACTTAGATCTTAAGTGAAGAAGCCACACGAAGTCAATTAAAACAAATTATTACATGTGAAGAAGATTGTTGTCGTGTTTTTCTATGCTGCCATAAGTTGTACTCCATCTCATGTATTAAAATGCGCTCAGTGTTGGCAACACAGTAATAAATATGATTACAGTGCTCTTGTAAGCTTTATTATAATAATCCTTCAGTCACTTGCCTTGTAATACTTTATATTGTCATCTTGTGTCCAGGCTAGCTGAACACTGAATTTCCTGGTATTTATTGCAGTTGTTTAAAAATCATTACTATTTGGTTCCATCATTGTAGTGTAACTTATATATTTTGAAACATCTTGCACCTTATAGGCAAAGTGATTGTGTAATATGATTTGTCCTGTACATGCTATGATCAGTTTTCAAATCCGCTTCTGTAACTGAATGTTAAACGTGTTTTAGAGTCAGAATGAAGAGACTATGTACTATAACTCAGTAGAATATAATTATATGTGATTTTCTCTTTGATATTCCAGGTTTTAGTCCTGGCTGATCTTAATTTCAAGGGACCAGAGAAACCACACGTATCCCACTTTGTACAGGGTGGCACAAAAATGGCACTGCACTTCTAATGCAAGTTGTTAGTTACTAAGGCAAATGATTTCCCCATTTTTTTAGGCTGTTTTGTGCACGAGTAAGCGGTGTTGTGACTTGCATGTGAGTATGTCCATGAGAGAAGTGAGGTTTGTATCCACCATGATAGTTGCCGGTTTGAAAGGTTTTTAAAACTGCATTCATTACAGCGTGGCGACTCCTCAGGTTTCAGATGGACCAGACATCATCCAGATATGGAGGGTAGCTGTGAATATATTAATTTGCTGACAGCCAATGGGGTAGTGTCCAGCTTTGCAGTTGGGTATGGGGCTAACAACTCACCATAAAAAATAAGCTTGTTACTAAATGTTGCAAAGGTCCTCAAACTTGGTGGATCCTTTGGATAAACAACCTAAGCTGAGGAAAATGGACAGAAGATTTGGTATATAGAATGTAAGAAGCCTGTACAGGGCAGGTGCTCTGATGACAGTGTGGAAAAAAATACAAGTTAGATTTAGTGGGAGTACAGGAGGTCAGAGGGGGAAGGTGAATGTACATTTTTCTGTGCAAAGGGAAATTAGAACCGTGAATCAGTTGCAGGTATTCTGTACATAAGAGAATCGTGTGAGCATTCAAAATGGTAGTTTGTTAGTAATAGGATGTACATAATACTAAGATGTAGGTGGTGTAATATTACGATTTTGAATGTTTATGCCCAAACTGAGGATAAAATTGATATAAAGGACAGCTATGAATATTTCACTGGGAGATTTCATTGCCAAAGTCGAATGAAAGTTTACACCAAATTAATAGTAATAATGGATCTGAAGAAAGCAGTCTTTTGGGATTTGGCACCGTGTATATGTGGTGTTAACCGACGTTTCGGAGGAACGTATCGCCCCCATCTTCAGGGTAGAAGAAAAAGTATATGAAATCTGCAAGTGACAACACCGTGAGAAACGGTAAAGCATTCTGCTTTACTTANTTTTTTTTTTTTCCGTAAAGGACTCGGATCAGGTGTCACCCTCCTCACCTGAGGACGAAAACATCCAATTTGCAAAACCTTGTGTTCTGTAGTTTTTTAGAATACGATGAAGTCCAAAAACTCGGTAATTCTAAATGTTCTACACAATTGTCAAAACTCTTTAGAATATTAAAATGGATCTTAGGGAGATAGGATGGGGTGGTATGGACTGGATTGATCTGGCTCAGAATGGGGACCAGTGTAGGATTCTTGTGAAGATGAGTAATGAACCTTAGGGTTCCATAAAATGTTGGAAAATTCTTGAAAAGCTGCACAGCCGGCATTAACTCCATTAATATGGAGATAATCATAAACTGCAGTGCTATTTTTGCTCCAGTCTGTACCTTTGGGAAGCAGGAAGCACAATAGATCACTGTAGGTCACAGTGCAAGGGCTGGGAAGGCCCACAACTTATATATTTGGGAAACAGATGTATTTGTATTTTTGCTGCTGAAAGCAGCCATGTTGGTCAGACCATTTTCATTATCTGTGTAATCCACGTAAATTTTATAATACCAGTTGGAATCTGCATCACACCTAAGATTGGTATGGCAGTATAGAGAGCTACAGGTGTCAAGTGTTCCTTGTTTATCAAACGGTTTTGTGATAAAGAAGGAAGAATGAAGTTTACTGCAGGTGGGGCTCCTTAATAATTCAGAGAGTCTTCAGACATCTTAAATGCTTACACCCATCTCTAAGAAACCATAACATGAAGTAAGACCTAGGGGAATTTAGTTAGAATTTTGTTGTGCCTTTGAGGATTAGTGAGCATTTAAAGCACAGGCCCTTGAGGTTTCTGAAGGGTTGTTTTTTTGGGGGGGGCGGGGGGTTATCTGGAACTTATATGTTGCATAATTTTTGTTCGCCAAAAAATTTATTTTGTAACAAAGATCTATTACAGTGAACTTGTTAGGAAAGAAATATGAATGTATTGACAAGAAAACTACACTGTTCAGAGTATTTTCCTTTTCTTCAATGATGTAATAATAATAATATGAAAGCATGGCAAAGTGGTACTTTGAACAGTTGTATCTGGCTTCTGGAAACAGCATAAATGGGCTGTAGAAACTTCTTTTGTTGGGAACACTTCTCAGGTCTTGTTTTGTACCTGGTAATGGCTTCTAAGGTTTTGGGGGAATATGCCAAATGTCTTCATTACCAGTCATTACCTCTTCAAAGAAAACTGAAGGCTAATTGGATTGGTCATGATTTACGCAGAAACTGCCTTCAAAAAGAAGTTATTGAAGGAAAGATAGAGGGGCGGATAGAAGTGACGAGAAGATGCTGGATGACCTTGGGGACAGAAGAGGATACTGTCATTTGAAGGAGAAAGCTCTAGATCGCATTAAGTGGAGGAATTGTATTGGAAGAGACTGTGGACCTGTCGTCTGACAGATTACTGATGATGACCTCTTCAAAAATGAAACGTACATAGGTATTGTAGGTTAAGATTAAGAATCATTTTAGGGTTAAACTGTAATAGAATGGAGGCTATGCATGCTATGTAATGGTAAAATATTGACCTTCCTCAGCTCTTAATTAGTATGCCACCTGTAATGAAATCATCTAGTTTGTCTGTACTCAGAAAGATTCCAGCATACCTTTGCTGGTGTATATACCACAATATGTGGTAAATGATGTTTAGAGGGAAGAGAACATGGTTACCATCTGGCACGTAATGCTGTGTAGTTCTCTGTAGGAGCTGACCAAAGTTTTGGAGGATCTCAGTGCCTCTTGTTGCATACGTCCTTATTTCTGGTTTTATTTCTTGGCGAATTTTTCAACCCATGATATGGAGGCAGAAGATTGTACCCTGTAGTCACCGGTGTGAGAACCCCAAGTTCCACTGCAATGTATGTCAAGTTTAAATCTCTAAATAGCCTTAAATATGCACCCCAAACTTCCTCTATGTCCAGATGGAAGATATAAATAGAATATTTACAGTTTTAGATCGATGGAGATGTGTGGCCTAAGGCGGTGACATGGGCCACCAGCCAAAGTAATTGACCGAACATGCAAGATATTCGAGCCTTGACACTGCCTGCTTCTTATCGAAGGTACAGCGGTAATTTTTGCATGTGTGTTAAGCAAAATTTTTAGAAACAAGCTTCTTGTGGAACCTGTGGTGTTAGGTTTCGCAATATACGTGCTAACAACTGATGCATCATCAGCAGAGTATGGACTGAATTATTTGTCTAGGTTTAGAAATAGGTACAAATAATTAAAAAATATTTTCCAAAAATCTTTATTGTGCGTGTGCAATTTTATGTATATATATGTAACAATAAGTACAAAAATAAGTAGGATTTAGATGATGCCATCTACAGGACCTGACGGCCTCGTTCGACATCATGGTTCTGAGTGACCGGTGCAGCAAGGTGGCCCTCGGGATTTGCCGCTTCTGCCAGTTTCAGCTTCCGGTATTTCTCTGTAACCAGTGAATATTGTAAATATTTGCGCTCGACAGATTGTAACCAGTTCTAATTATTCAGAATGTAAGAACATAAAGTGACTGACACCATAAATTTGATAATATTTATTTAAGAAAATGATGCCTTAAACTCTTGTTTCTGCTGCATAATATGAGATATCTGGAGATATACTCACTTGCAATTCTGAGCATGATGAGGCCCCACCATATGCTCCAGCCCCAGCCAACAAGACAGAAGATGACCGTGAATAATTGTGCAGCCCCTACCATCAGATTCACCACTAAGGAACCCATGCGCCCCTGGAGATCATCGTGGGGACCAAAGCGTGGCTTTCCAAAACACAAACAAAAGAACCCACTTGACAGAGTTCCTGAAACAGAGACCATATACATAAATCTTTAGCAATGAAACATCGATATATTCAGCGCACTGTTCTAGTTACATATAGACCTCTAAAGGGGAATATATTTTGGAAGGATATTCTACCATCAATCTATTCGGTATTTGCACTGTGAGAGTCGGACCACTTCGGTGCAACAGAATTATATGTCTTCAAGTTATTTTCATCAAAGCTATACGTGTAACGTCGTAGAGGTCCATAGGGTTGTGAAACGTTGAGGCTCCCACATTTTCTAGACAATC